TTCTGACTTATGAGAGCTTAGGAGGCAGCAGAGCCTGCAGACAATTCTGTTCATGCAGTGGCCATGGCTCTTGCCTAGGAGACTAAACTGATGTTTATTTTCCCATAGCAAGGCAGCCACTAGAAATGGTAGTGGCTTACAGATGGGCTGGGGGAAGAGGGGTAAAGCTTTCCATTGTTCTATGTTATGCCCCCACTTCTATGGCAAAACCAGCAATGGCACCCCCAAGTTGGTGTAGCAGAGGGAAGAGGAGACAGGATGGGGAAGAGTTGTGTCCTGAAAGGCACGATGAGATAACGTGTTTACGGTGCAATGGATTGTTTATAAATTGGCTTCAAAGCACCAGTTAAATGGGTCATTGGGAGGAAAAGGCTAAGGACAGAATTCCATTAGAATAAAGAAAATGAAAGGTAGAAGTGTGTTTAAAGTTTATTGATTTAAGTTAAAGTTTCTGTTATTAGGATCCCCCAATGCCTGGAATCATGCCAAACAGCAAACAACTAGAGCATCTAGATAAGTACAAATGTCATTTTTCCTTTTCTTTGTAGGCTGGGTGTGGGGTGTTTAATTCACCATCTCCTAAACTTTTAGAAGTAAATTTCTCCCTTATTTCTCTGGGTGCAGGGGCCCCTCATTCAGGTTTTATTTTGCTCCTCCCAGGGATAAAGAAATCAGGATTTGGGGATGCCACTCCAGGGATAAAAAGCAGACAGACATCAGTTCTAATGGTGGCTGTTATCATGCTGTTAAGTGGAACTGGGGGAGGACAAGATCTGCTGCTAGATAAATTCTGTATGCTTTTTACCTTTTCTGAGGATGAGGGCCACTAGACTGGACATCTACTCTAAGCCATTAACACCAGTCACAGAATGACTCTTCAACTTGGGGGGGAGGGGAGTGGAAGAAATAAGTATTGTCTTGACAATAAGAAATTGATGATAAGTCATGAGCCCTAGACTGAGCCAGCTCTGGATTATTCTAGTTTCCTCTGGCTAGGAAAACAAAGTTAGTCAGTACAGGTTTGCTCAAAAGATTAGTTTTAGTTATGATAATTTGATAAGTCATAAAGGACAGATACTAATGGCATTATCAGTCCAGCAAGGGTTGACAGAGATGAAGTGAAGGGCCAAAGCCAAAGTGGTCATCCAGAGGTCAGTGTCTGTCAGATAGAATGTAGGGTATAACACATCCATTGTGAGGTGGTTTATGAGTAATCTAAACAGTTCCTATTAAACAATGGCTTTCTCACCAGTCAACCAATCAGAATATTGTTTCATGTCCCAGTGTTCAGAAAGATTTATAAATCAAAGTAATTTACATTTCTTGAAATAGTTAAATTTAAATTCTAAAGAAAAAAACTGATGACCCAATTAAAAAAAAACCCCAAACCAGAAAACAAACTAAGAACTTCTGGTCCTCCATTATGCAGCCCAAAAAAGCAAAACAGGGCACAAGCCTAGCATTTCTCCCATAGGCCACCTTTAATTCAAAGTCTCAGAGGGGTAGCTATATTATTCTGTAACTTTAAAAAACAAGTAGACCTGTGGCACCTGAGAGATTAACAAAATATATATAGTATTATGAGCTTTCAGGTTTTGTCCACAAAAGTTTGTTGCTATATATATTTTCATTAGTTTCTAAGATGTCACAGGACTATTTGTTCACAATGCAAAGGTTTGCTTATGCCATAAGAGGAAATGGATTGAGTGGCTCTGCTGTATTGCCAATCTCAAATGTTCAAAATTCATAAATTCTCTCATGGATTTTTACTGGATTTTTTTTTAAATTAAAGTTAAGATTGCTACATATCACTTGGTCTCTAGTGTGACATCCTGTTTTATAGGACCATAAAACTATTGTATTTGAGTTTGTATATTGCAATTGTACTTAAGCACACTGTACCATTATGCACAGCTAAACATCTAGCAATAATGCTTTTTAAAATTTGGAATATTCTGCTGTACAACAAACATACTTAGTCTGTATTGAAACTAAAAAAAAAAAAAAAAAGCAAACACACACCCTCTTTACTTCAGGACCTGAAATCACTATAATGAAAGTTGGCAACAGATGTGTCAACCAAACGTACATATCTTGGGGGGGGACTAGTATATTGTAGTTGTTGGTTTCGACTGTTAGTAGAAAACATGGTTTATCAGTGTTCCCTTTCTTCTCCTGATATTAACAGACTTATAAAGATAAAGGTCATCTGAAGAAGTGGATTTTGCCACGAAAGCTCAGGATACCATCTACATGTTTTGTTAGTCTTTAAAGTGCTACTAGACTATTTGTTGTTTAAGTTTTTCCTGTTACAGACTAACTCAGCTACCCCTCTGAAACTTTTAAAGATAAAGGAGGCAATTAAAAAAATTGTTCATATTTTAACCTACTCAACTTTGGCTACGTCTACACTGGCCCCTTTTCCGAAAGGGGCATGCTAATTTCACAGGTCGTAATAGGGAAATCCGCGGGGGATTTAAATATCCCCCGCGGCATTTAAATAAAAATGTCCGCCGCTTTTTTCCAGCTTTTAGAAAAGCCTTTTCCGAAGGATCTCTTATTCCTACTTTGAAGGATCTCTTATTCCTACTTCAAAGTAGGAATAAGAGATCCTCCGGAAAAGGGCTTTTTTCCGGAGGATCGGGGCCAGTGTAGACACTCTTTTCCGGCTTTTCTAAAAGCCGGAAAAAAGCGGCGGACATTTTTATTTAAATGTCGCAGGGGATATTTAAATCCCCCGCGGATTTTGCTATTACGACCTGTGAAATTAGCATGCCCCTTTCGGAAAAGGGGTCAGTGTAGACGTAGCCGGTCAGTCTTTCCACTCTTGTATTGTTAAGAGTGTAGAATTATTAAAAGTGCTCATACACTGTTCGGAAGGAAGCGGAGATCAAGCCCCACACCGTTAGTGGCTATCAACAAAAGTGGCATTTGGTTACTTTTGGGGGATGGGGTGTCCCTCGACCTGCTTCCACTTACAATCATTCCACGTGCGCAGAGAGCTGAACCTGGGCAGTGATCTTTAGCCAAAGGGGCCCGAGCACTTTTTGGTGTTTGAATTCGGGGCCACGGCGCTTTGCTGGCCGGAGGGATTCGTGCAGGGTGGGTGTTTCTAGCCTCTTCTTTGCAAATCCCACGGGCTCCCTGGAGCAGGGCGCTATTGGCAGACCCCGAACAACCGCACGTACAACCTCTTCTCCAGCAGCCCCGCCATGGAGCGTATCCGCTGCTGTGCACCCGCCTCCCTCCCGCCCGCCGGCCGCGCCGTGTTTTCCAGTTAAAGGGGAGGGGTCCCCCTTCAGGCGCAGGGCGGCGAGATGGGAAATGGCGCAGCAGCCAGCGCACCGCCCCGGCCCCGCCCGTGCCAGCTCGCCATTCGCGCCAAGCGAGCGTGTGACGTGTACCCTGCGTGCCTCTGCCCCGGGCCTCCTTGTTTTCAAACGGAGTGGGCGTGTGTGATTGGCTGCGTCGGGGACACGAGACTAACGGTCGCGGGAAAGCCGCGGAGTCTGAACGGCAAGAGCGGGGCTGCGCCGGGCAGCGCGCCGCTAGCGAGTGGGCGGGCGCGCGCTGTAGTTGCCGCGGTGCGTCTCCCCGGGAGCCGGACCCGTCTACAGAGCTGGGAGCAGCCCGGAGCCCTTGTCCTGCCATGAGCTTCTTCAGACTGCAGCCGG